AGATTTGTAAAGACAAATGTTGTAGAATTACAATATAAGCCAAGAGGAAACCAGTTTTCCTTTGCTGTTAACCAAACTAGGTTTTCGCGAGACTAGCATATTCTCACCAGAGCTTACGCTACATGCATCATCCGCTGGAACACTACTCTCTCATGAACACAAGTGCGATGGTCAATGGAATCTAGAGGTTATAGTTTATAAAGTTTTAAATACGGATATTTTTCTTACGCAAATGCAACGGTTCACTTCAGGAGGCCTTTATTAACCCCCCGGAGCTGTGTGGAGTACATTTTATGATGGATGGATGCACTTTTATTGGACTTCTTAAAATCTTAAACCCCATTCACTGCCATTATAAAGCTTGGAAGAGCCATGACATTTTTTTTTCTGATTGTATTTGTCTGAAAGTAAAAAGCCATATACATTTAGGATGGCTTGAGGGTGAGTAAATCATGGGGTAATTTTCATTTTTGGGTGAACTATCCCTTTAAGAGATATTCTGGTGGTTGATATCATTAAAAATCATCACCTAATATTACAAGAATCTACATTTAAATTAGTAATATTTAGTTGAATGTGTTTTAATAAGGGAAGTTTTGTTATAGGCTATGCATGTTATCAGAAAGTCACAATGCTCAAGAGATTTGTTATTGATTGTGCTAATGGACATTTCAGTGAAAAAAAAAAAATGAAACAAATAAATCAAGAAATTTCAAAATTCATTATTTATTTGTAATAAATGTGCAGTATTTTTGCTTTGGGAAAAAAATGAACCGACAGTTGATGTTAATTCCTGTCAGGGGGTGGCAGCAGTGAGCTGCGACGCGCCCGCTCCTCCAATAGAAACGGAGAAAGAATCTTCTCACAGCGGCTCGTTTAGCATTGACACCCGGTTAATCTGCCTCTGTTGATGATTTATTAAGTCTCTCAGCATTTGGTATATTCGATTCTATTACACCTGCTATCACGCAAGGGAATGCACTACAGATAATCGTGTCAACGTAAGTAATGTGCTAACACAACTTGCTAGCATTTCTTGGGCCAGTAGCAGTGTGTATAAAAGCACACGCGAAACTTTTCGCCACGTTACCTTTACTGTACGTTAGACTCGACATCTGTCGTTTATTAATAACTATATTTCACAGCTCATCTGACTTTGTAGTGTATTTAGACATATTTTAAGTAAGGATGATACAAATATTCAGACTTTGTACAGTGGTGGCCAAAATGATTAGAACACTAGTATTTTCACCAGCTAAAAATGTTTTAAGTCAGTTATTTCTATCTTTTGCTGTAGTGTGTCAGTAGGAAATATCAGTCTACATTTCCAAACATTCATTTTGCCATTGTAATAATCCAGTGAGATAATTGTTTGCACAAGGAGTCTGACAACAGCAGTGCTCCACACAGAGATCTGATCTCAGCATCATCCAGTCTGTCTGGAATCACATGAAGAAACAGAACAAACTGAGACAGAATACATCCAGAAGAACTGTGGCAACGTCTCCAAGATGCTTTAAGAAACCTGAAAAACTATGCACAAGTGCACCTAGGGCAAAAGCTGCTTTAACTCAAAGAATGGTCTCACCAAATGTTGATTTAATTTAGTTAATAGATAATAATCCAGTGAGATAATTGTTTGCACAAGGAGTCTGACAACAGCAGTGCTCCACACAGAAATCTGATCTCAGCATCATCCAGTCTGTCTGGAATCACATGAAGAAACAGAACAAACTGAGACAGAATACATCCAGAAGAACTGTGGCAACGTCTCCAAGATGCTTTAAGAAACCTGAAAAACTATGCACAAGTGCACCTAGGGCAAAAGCTGCTTTAACTCAAAGAATGGTCTCACCAAATGTTGATTTAATTTAGTTAATAGAAGTGAATTGATAAAGAAACTCTATTAATGACATTATTTTTGACAGCATCCTCATTTTACAATATTTTACACTTTAACTACTGTAGCTTTGCAGGTTGGTCTCTTGAAGCATCTTGGAGACGTTGCCACAGTTCGTCTGGATTTAGTTATTAGTTACTGCTTTAAGTGCTACAGTGCATCTCATCCTCTTGACTGCACCAGATTTGCCATTTCTTGCAGTGATATGTTACTCCACTCTCCCACCAAGACATGTTCAATTGTTCAAAAAGTCATTTCTGGTGGGGTACATTGTTACATGTGGTTTGCCACGTCAAGGACAATCAGGCATCTTATATTACAGAGACAGCAGTTTATTTATCTAGTCACATCTGCAGTCCTCCTGCCTACTGGACTATGGCATGCTCACACAGGTGATCAGGGACCCTGGGCATCTTCTGGTGTTTTTTTTAGAGTCAGTAAAACAAGTCAATTTTGGTTGGTGTGTAAAGAGGCTAATAGTATAATTAGCCTAGTTAAATGTATGACTGCTGATGGTTAATTAAGTCATTTGGACACATGCTAGATTGTAAATCCTATATATACAAAAAGCTATAAATGATTTCTGGTAGAAAAATCAGCATTATGCTACACGATCTGTCATTCTTGCAGTGCTATTGTACTGAGAGTCTGTTGTGATCAGGTGCTTGTCTCTGGTTCTGCCAGTAGATGGCTCTTGACTGCACCAGATTTGCCATTTCTTGCAGTGATATGTTACTCCACTCTCCCAACAAGACATGTTCAATTGTTCAAAAAGTCATTTCTGGTGGGGTACATTGTTACATGTGGTTTGCCACGTCAAGGACAATCAGGCATCTTATATTACAGAGACAGCAGTTTATTTATCTAGTCACATCTGCAGTCCTCCTGCCTACTGGACTATGGCATGCTCACACAGGTGATCAGGGACCCTGGGCCTTTTTTTAGAGTCAGTAAAACAAGTCAATTTTGGTTGGTGTGTAAAGAGGCTAATAGTATAATTAGCCTAGTTGAATTTATGACTGCTGATGGTTAATTAAGTCATTTGGACACATGCTAGATTGTAAATCCTATATATACAAAAAGCTATAAATGATTTCTGGTAGAAAAATCAGCATTATGCTACACGATCTGTCATTCTTGCAGTGCTATTGTACTGAGAGTCTGTTGTGATCAGGTGCTTGTCTCTGGTTCTGCCAGTAGATGGCACTATTTCCCTTTGTTTTGAAGGGCCAGGTGTCTGCTGACAAAGATGTGCCTCAGTTCCAGATGCTTGTTTGTATTATTGTGAATTATTCTGGTATCAGTGATACAGCATTAGGGAACAGACTGCATGCAGTAGCTCTAGCTGTATTTTTTTTGGCTCATCTCTCACCTCTGGTTGAAGCTCTTGTCTTGATCAGCATGTTGTAAGTTGTCTTTATGCTTATCGCTTCCTCACTCGACTTTTTTAAGACTGGGTATGCACTATTTGAAACTCACACTCATAGGAAATAGTACCTTAATGAGCTGTTACATCTAAATAAAGGAGCACTGAGATGATATTGGATCAATGTCAGTGATATTCAGATAACTGTCAAACTAAACTGTCAAAAGGAGAGAGAAAAAAAAGATGGTCCTTGGAGGATTTGGTGTAGGCAGCTTGAAGTACAAATGTCTTATAAGCTTCCTTATACGCGATGATTTCTTGCAGCTGTTGTGTTATCAGTACTTTGTGACGCAGCATCATCTCTGTGCAGATCATGTCAGATATATCACTGTCAACGTGACGCTTAAATTCTGCTTTGGGATGTAAAAGCTGAATTGCAAACAGACACAGATCCTTGTCCGCCACACCTAAGTTTAACGCTCAGCACACAACACACCCTTACAGATGAAAAGAAATGCATGGCTAAAGAATGAATGCAGGCACATGCAATCACATACTGAAGCATGCCGTACCCGCTCCGTCACTCTGAGCATTAAAGTCACAGGTTTTGAGGACGTGGCATTTGTTTTGGAGCACAAGGACAGTTGACAATTTTGAGTTTTCTTTCTTTGTTTGGCTATAATTAAGAAATGAAGAAATAGGTTTGTCAGCAAGTCAGATGATCATTTATTATATTAATAAGTTAGTTTTATTTAAATACAAAAACATTAAACACATGCATGCATATATGCATATTTATTAACTAATTAATAAATATTCTAATAAATAGTATTACTTAATATTTTCAGACCTGTTCTTTGGTCAGATATACCACTGAAAACATACCCTAAAACCTGTAATTTCTGTTACTGTATCTAGCTAACCATTCTATTTTATGAAAATGTATTTAAATTAACATATCTGGTTGGGAAAAATGCTTCTGTCATTTATTGCTATTTGGTTGATTTTGAATTGTTTCATTGCAAAGTAATTAAGTGAAAATAATAATTTATGATAAATTAAAGTGGCTATAATTAGTGTCAATTACCTTTTATGACATTGCATATCAGCATAGTTTTGTCAGCAAGTCAGAATGTTATTTATTATATTAATGCAAAAACATACAATACATGTGTATAATACATTTTACATATACATTTTTTATAATTAATACTGTATATTTGAATATAGATAATCATTCTACAATTATTAGATTATAATATTGTATATAAAAAGACAACAAATGTTTTTTTTTTTTTTTTAGCTGGTTTAAAAAATAAAGCTATAAATTCCTTGGAAATAAGTTTGAAGGTGCAAAAATACTGCCATTTAGCTACAGAATGTGATATATCAGAATTGGTAAGGCATTTAATGTTGAAAGTGTGTTTTGGAATTATAGTAATATGCTGGAATGTACATAGGATGTACCCCAGCTTCTGATTCATCTGCTAAAAGTAAAAGGAAGTAAGATGTCGTTTATTACGAAGAAGGATGTTTCTGTGTACACAATACACATGCTTGCCAACTGTTGTGTGTACGTGTGTTTACTTCTTTTCCCCGCCTTTAAGCACTTAAAATGTTTAACTTCTTCCTGGAGTGGAGAGGATACAGAGGGCGGAGATGCAACCAATTCGCCTCTCTCCCAGACAGCCAATCAGTGCGCAAGAGCGGTCTTGTCCCCGCCCCCTGGGCCGGTCCTGCCAGAGCTGCTTTGTGTGAAGCATGCAGGGTGCTGCTGTCCTCCTCCCTTTTGTGTTAATGGCTGTCAGAGACGCAGAATAGAGGGAAAGCAGCTAGAAAGGGGCTCCATTTGATTAGAAAGCAGCGGAAAAGAAAACACTGCACACACCATGATGCCAGGACATGCTAGAAACCCACACGTGAGTCAGATGCCATTTTGTCATTTGCTTTTCCTCGTTGCTTCTGCCTGCTTCCATCCCTCTCCCTCCCCCGTTTGTAATGTTTAGGGTGCAGCTATAGTCTTGTGATACCTCTTAGCAGGGATGATGAGTGTGTGAGCTGGAAACATGGTTTTTTATTGGTGTTATGAAGTATTCTAATTTGTTGAGATAGTGAATTGGTGGGTTTTTGTTAAATGTGAGCCAAAATCATCACAATTAAAAGAACCAAAGACTTAAACTACTTCAGTCTGTGTGCATTGAATTTATTTAATACACGAGTTTTACAATTTGAGTTGAATTACTGAAATAAATGAACTTTTCCACAACATTCTAATTTATTGAGATGCACCTGTATTTTTTGTCAATATCGCACACCCCTAATATATTTAACGTTTTGTTTAGAAACATTTTTGATAAATATGAGAAGTGCCCTTTTTTCTACTTGAGCCCCTGCCCCTCAAAATATCTGTGCACATCACTATGTGTATGTATATAATATATGGAGGAAACCTGTGGTGTGATGATGGGTGAACGCAGCGAAAACTTAGGCTACAGTAGATGGGGAACCTTTTGCTCCCCCATGATATTTCGTAAACTTTATTTATGGCGAACTGCACAGGTGCAGATATTATAAAAATCTATCGATAAACGCACACCGTGTCCTCTGTTTCTCGCTCTGCGCCGCTGCAGTCTGCGGATTGAAATATTGATGCAGGTCAGCTCTTTCTCTTGTTTTTGTTTTTGTTTTGTTTTTTTTCTTTTCTGTTTGTCTTTTCTCAGTTTTTTCCCACTTTTTGTGACTGATAACACTATATACACACTTTTGCTTCCTGAGTACAGCTGCAGTTTCTAGTTCAGATTTTCCAATTGTTGTATCTCGGCCAAATACTGTCCTATCATAACAAACATACATTCAAACATTCAGCTTTCAGATGATGTATAAATCTCAATTTCGAGAAATTGACACTTGAGACTGGTTTTGTGGTCCAGGGTCACATATTATATTTTTATATATTTTTTTAAGTTACTGCAAAAAATAATTATATTTTGACAGTTACTATGATATAAATTTGTGGACATTCCACCCACCCCAAATGTCAGGGCCTTTCTAATGACATTTGCCATTGTATTACTTATATACTATATGCTTTTAGTTTTACATTTTCCATATAGTTTTCATTTTAAATTTGGTTTAAATTTAAGTAATTTGATCTTAGTTTTTGGCATTTTCATAAAAAAAAAAATCTTTTTAACTTAAATTAATTTTTTAGTTTTACTTGTAGTAATTTTAGTGTTTCTACTAAAATTTTGTTTCCGTTAGTTGCCAAGAAAACATTTCAAATTTTAGTTTTTGAAGGTTTTTTCATCTAATATTTCTCTTTCATTTTATTTAAGCTTTATTTCAATTAACTTTTTTATGAGTTTTAGTTAATAACACATAATACAATATGTCATAATTGTAGTTTGAATTAAATGTAAACTCTGGGAAAAAAAATTGAATTGTGACTCTTATGAGCCAGACATTTGGATTAATTGTTCAAAAAACTTTACCAGTTGAAACAACCTTAGGAATCCTTCCCTGAATAAATGCAATAGAAGTGTAGTAGATATATATATATTATATATATAATATATATTTATATCGCTGTGTGTGTGTATATACTTTTTTTATTTCATTATTTTTAATCATATTTGAATAATAATAAATACATTCAATAATAGAATTATTTTCAGTTGTCAGTTTAATTTTTATTTTAAGTTTTAGTCATTTTGTTACTTTTTTGTGATTTAATTTTGATATTTTCTATTAATGATTTATTTTTCCATTATAGTTTAGTGGTAGTAATTAGTACCAGTGTAATAAAAAAAAGTAATTTTAGTACAATTTTAGTATTCCAACTTAAACTTATTTTATTTCCTGAGTTGTCAAAGCAACATTTCTAATGTTCTTTTCTTTTTTGATTTAAGTTTGTTTTTAATATAGTTATGAGCATAAATATATTTCAGTTAATGTTTAATAGTATTCATTAAAAATAACACTGAATGTAATATAGAATTTAAGCTTATTTTTAATTAAAAGTTTTATTAATGAATAAGAACTTATTTTATTTCAGTTAGTTGCCAAGGCAAGTTAAGATTTTTATTTAATATTATATTTTATCACATATTGTTATGGTTGGATCAGTCAGCTCATTTTTGGCCATTCTTAGATAACTCAAATGTAACATAACGTTAAACACAGACCCTGAACATATCCTGTGCGTTCTGGCTCTGTCCGCTAGCTCCAAGATCTACGGTGATGGAAATGCGGTCCAGCGTATCTTGAAGTTCATGCAGTCCATTGACCTTTCTGAGCCACTACAGAAAAAGTTCTGTTTCCCACCGGTGAAGGAATGCATCTCTCAAGATATCGACCACATTTTGGAGACCCAGAGTGCTCTTGCTGTAGATTTGGGGGGGACCAACCTGCGTGTCGCCATCGTCAGTATGAAGGTATGCAGAGCAGACCTCTGGAGTCAGGTGTTCAGATCCTGTTCATCTTTTAGAAGATGCAGGACGTGCACTATGCTCTCAGTACAGCTGTGTTTGCTTATGACAGGATGTGTGTGCCAGACTGTGACGTGTTTTATGCAGCAGGATATGCAGCACTTATGTAAATATTTCATTCATGTGACGCACACAAGTCTGATAGTAAAACGAACAGCGGCAGGTTTGATCAGAAGGGTTGTGTAATCAGCTCTTTCTGTGTGTGAATAGTGCAGTTTCTTGGACTGCAGACTGACAGACTCACCATTAAATATCGAATTAGTTTAATTAAATATTTGGCCATAAATGCTGAATTTAGACATGCACTTATTTCAGATTTATGTATTTTACAATATTACTCATCATTCACTAAAAATATTAATTTATATTTATATTAATCTCAAAATGGCCAGATATCAGCCAATTAATCGCTTTGGCTTATATATTCACCTGTTATTTCATAAACATTATAAAGATCATACTGGTGCTCAAGCAGTCTAAAATGATAAAGTAAATTCCATCTATATTTAAATGTCTACTTGAATGCTGCAATTTGACCAAGTGTTTCATTGGTTTAGGTGTATAGCTATCACAGGGTCCATACTTCCAGTCAGAGTGATGATGGAGCGGTACAAGTGTATGACAAATGATCAAATCAACATTATAAAAGCAAAAAATAATTAAATCTGTTGCTGAAGCAAGGAGAGATTATTATTATGCTGTTTATTTTTATTTTTTAAATTTGCATGCATAAAATTACTGTTCAAAAGTATGGAGTCTATGAAAGTCTCTCTTTTATTTATTTGATCAAAAATACAAAAAATGTCATGTTGTGAAATGTTATAAAATTTTTAAATAACCGTTTTAGATTTTAATATATTTAAAAATGTCATTTATTCCTGTGATGGCGAAGCTGAATTTTCAGCTTTAGTGTTACATGATTCTTCTAATATGCTGATGTGGTGCTCAGGAAACATCTCTTATTTTAAAAAATCATTTTTTTTATTATCAAGGAATGTTTTTAAATAATCATTATTAATATTATCAGTTGTGCTGCTTAATTTTGTGTGATACTTATTTGATTTGATGAGTAGAAAGTCTGAAATAAAAATCATTTGTACCGTAAATGCCTTTACTGTCAATTTAATGCATCCTTGCCTAAAATATTAATTTATTTCGAAAAAAAGAGACTTTCTGACTGATCCCAATTTTTTGAATGGTAGTGTATCTTGCGGAATGTGATTGAGCTAAGAAATTAAAGGTGAAGTCATTTACTATGTAATTTTTCCTGCAGAATTTCATTGTGATGGTTTAATAGTTGGTTGTCTTTGTTGCGTCATATTTGTTTGTTGTTTACATTTCCATGAAATTAGGTGTAAAATATTTTCAAATATTGAGGATTTCAGCTTGTAAATGTGTGCTTGTTTTTCAGGGTAAAGTGGTTAAGAAATATGTCCAGTTGAATCCTAAGACGTTTGAGGAGAGGATAGAGCTGATACTGACCATGTGCAAACAGGCCATGGCTGACGCCGTTCACCTCAACTGCAGAATCCTGGGTGTCGGTATGTCTGCGTTTGTCCCAGGTCTTTTTCTATGTGTCTATAAATTCACTCACTCATTCACTGTCCATTTCTTTCAGGTGTGAGCACAGGGGGTCGAGTGAACCCACAAGATGGGATAGTCCTCCACTCCACTAAGCTAATCAACGAGTGGAGTTCGGTGGACATCCGTACACCTCTTTCTAGTGCACTTCATCTCCCCGTTTGGGTCGATAATGATGGCAACTGCGCCGCCCTTGCTGAGAGGAAGTTTGGCCATGGGAAAGGCATGGAGAACTTTGTCACCATTATCACTGGAACCGGTCCGTTCCCTTTAGTAAATCCATTTCTGTTAGTTGCTAGGGGTGACGGGCTTTCTCTTTTGTTTGATAATGCAAAGAATGAGACCTGACAGAAAGTGGGATTAAAGCTGACAGACTGGTCACACTGGTTATTTAGGTTACTGCAATCTTATTGTACCCTTAGAGCAGTGGTCGCCGACCAGTCGATCCTGAAAATAACAGTAAAATAAGTTCAAAAATGCATTACATTTCTGGGGTTATATTAATGTATCACTGAAGGGAACTGTCTTGAGAAAAGTTTCGATGGCAATGGCATTTTCTTCTCCGTATAAAGCGCAGCTCTGCTTTGTTTTCAGCGGTAAACAAGGAAACGCTACATTGCGGTCGGTTCATAAGCAGTGTTGCCAAGTCCGCGGTTTTCCCGCGGAATTGGGCTACTTTAACACTGTTGCACTGTTGAAGCGACCACAATATAGTGAATATTTAGCACCTGGAGTGTGAATTTTACTGGAAGATCCCCGCCGAAAAACGTGTTTCTCGCACAAAACGATCGTTTCATGTCTTAGGACATCAATGTGTCGTCACGAGCCGCAGGGTTTAATTTGGATTTGTCTGTGCATGTTTTTTTTACTCTCATAGATTTTGTTACCATTGCCATGCATTATACGACTGAGACTGTAACGGTTAAAGTTAAAAATCATCATATGTGTTCTACTGAAGAAACAAAGTCACCTACATCTTGGATGCCCTGGGGATAAACATCAGATTTTCATCTTTGAATGAACTATCCCTTTAAAGCCAGTTTGTTTGTTATAAAGCAAATAGCCAATAAATAAATTTGCTTAAAAATCCAATTTGCTAGTTAAAAAAGAAAGAAAGAAATCTGAATTCTGAATCAGCTATGACCGGCGCATCTCTAATTAAAATACTAAGTAAAAGGCCTCAAATTTGAAGTACAATTTGGGATGTCTTTTTCTATCAATTCTTCAATAGGTAGATCTTATCTTTCATAAAGGCTGAGGTCAGGTATCTTGGGCCTAACAAGGTTGGTGACCACTGCCTTAGAGGGTAATTCTCAAGAAACGGTGCTAATTATGCCAGATTTTTTTTTGTCCATTTGAAAAGGTTACAGCTGAAATCTCTTTATTTAAATGATATATTATAATATAATTATATTAAAGATTTTATACATAATATTAATAATGTAAATGTGTATATTTTTATTTTATAAATTAATAATTTAAATGATAAATTTGATATATTAATATTTACTTCGCCATTCAAATATTTGGGGCCAGCAAGATTTTTTTATTTTTTTTATTTATACATTTATTCAGCAAGAATGCATTAATTTGATCAAAAGTGACAGTAAATACAGTTATAATGCTACAAAATATTTCTATTTGGATTAAATGCTGTTGAACTTTCTATTAATCAAAGAATCCTGATCCAGTTTCCACAAAAATATTAAGCAGCACAACTGAGCATCAAATCAGCGTATTAGAATGATTTCTGAAGGATCATGTGGTTTTGGAAAAATGCTTTAATTGTTTCGGGGACTGTTTGATTACTGTTCATGCATGATTTTTTTTAAGTCAGTGGTACAGTGCACGACAGGTGTCAGGTTACTACTTAATCTGATATTGGACATAAAATACTTGGAAATGTTCATTCAGAACTGCTTCTCAAATCACTTCCTTACACAGGAAGTCTGCCGTAGAATATCTTTAAAGTTTTTAGACCATAAACCTACTTATTAAGATGTTTAATAATACTTTTTTACAAATTATTAATAGATACAAGTGCTAGTTCTTTTGGGTTCATTTTCTGAAAGAAAGCAGTGAGTGTATATACTCTGCATTTAGTTTACAATGGAATTATTCAATAAAAAAATGAAAAGGTGTTATAATAATATACCATATCATAAGAGTATATAATAAGACTATATACTGTATATTGTAAGACTATTTTTACAAGGCTATTTACAAATTTTTCCGTTGTCATTAAAGTCTCGTTATTTTACATAGTTTCCCGATATGATTTATTGTATATAACTATTGCTCTTCTATACTAGGACCGCGGGGCAGACTGTGCGAAGTTTCAGAAGAGTGAGCTGGAGTTTAAGTTCAATAAGAAAGCTCTGGAGCGGCCGTACACCTCCAAACACTCCTGGGGGAAAACATACGGAGAGCACAAGCGCCATCTAGAGTTCAGCCACGAGCAGTACAGAGAGCTGCAGCAGTACGCTAAAGAAGTGGGCATCTTCTTCACTGCGTCCGGAATGGACGAGGTGAGCGGGTTACAGCCGCAGAACGCATGCGCAGACTATTAGACTAACATCTGTATTTGATTTATTTTGGCTTCAGGTTTACCGATAGCAAGGAAAAATAACAGGAGCCTGCTGATTACATCAAATACCAAAAGTCATGTGTGTTGTTATTTTTCTCTTTAGTCATGTGAATCTTACAGCTGGCTCGTACAAAAGTACTGTAGCAGTACCTTGGGAAAGTGATGCTTTACGCTGATGTGCTCCTATATTATAACCAAGAATGTCATGGATGTTAATTGTAGTATTTTTTTTTTGTCTGCTTGTGTGTTTAAGATGGCTGTAGAATTCCTGCAGGAGCTCAATGTGCCTTTTTTTAAAGTTGGATCTGGAGACACCAACAACTTCCCCTACCTCAAAAAAACTGCCCAAAAAGGTGCCATTTTTATATTAAAATGTATTATTATTATTATTGTCCTCACAAACAATCAATAAGATGTAAAACTGCATTCCTGTTCTTCCTGTTTCCTTCCAAAACATCCTGTCTTAACTTTTTTTTTTTTTAAACCATCATCTTTATCCATTGGCTACCCAGTATCACTACTCCTCCTTAACTTTGCTTCTTCTCTTTTATGTTGGTGGGATGTTTGTTTTGAACGGCACAACCACATTGTCATCAAGTAATCTGCTCCGTCAAAACATTCCTATAATTCCTCTTCTACATCTTTCACTCCTCTCTAGCTCGGGAAATCTGTGGTGGCCAAGACGGCCATCCCGAAAGGTACAGAACTGACCCTTGACATGCTGACTGTGAAAGTAGCAGAACCTAAGGGTGTAGCTCCAGAAGACATCTTCCAGCTGGTGGGGAAGAAAGTGACAATAGACATCGATGAGGATGAGAGCGTCACTGAGGATGCAGTCGACAACTACGGCAAAAAAGCCAAAGCTTGAGGAAAACCGTCTCCGCCTGTCATTCTTCATCAGACTGGAAAGAAATCGAGATACTTTAGCCAAAATTAAATGCATTATTCTAGAACTGCAGTTAAGATGGCATTGTTTTGTCTGATAGGCAGACAGAGACAAATGCAACAATACAACAAATGCTTTTAATTCTGTTAATATGGATTATTACTTGCCAAATACTGTTGAATAAATAATGGAGCTAAAAACCATGGAAATCTGTCTTATTTTGAAGGTGAATTAATGGAATCCATAGAAATGACCAATCTAATTGGTTAATACCATGTGAGTGATTTGATTTTTTGTGTGTGTGTGTATATACTGTGTGTGTGTCATGGTAGCACCAGAATAGTTTTTTTTTTAAATACCATGGTACATGAATGCAGGATATGACCATTACATGTTGTTTGTTTATTTATTTACTGGGATAGAATCAGGGGTTTTCCTTTGCAACTAACATGACACAGAAATCTTGCTTTCAGTTCACCTTCAAAGTCGAGCATGATTCTTTCTGTGAAGGGCACGACGCTGTCAGTGTTTCATGACAAACCCTGTTTATATTCGTTATAGATTGATACGTATGCAATCCCATATTGCTGCAACGCCCTATCAGGGCACGCGGATGATCACGGGATTCGCACAGCCACGGTTTAGTCATTTTATTGGTCGGCGACTCAACTTCTCGCCATTTGTATGGACAATACCATGGTACATGAATGCAGGATATGACCATTACATGTTGTTTGTTTATTTATTTACTGGGATAGAATCAGGTGTTTTCCTTTGCAACTAACATGACACAGAAATCTTGCTTTCAGTTCACCTTCAAAGTCGAGCATGATTCTTTCTGTGAAGGGCACGACGCTGTCAGTGTTTCATGACAAACCCTGTTTATATTCGTTATAGATTGATACGTATGCAATCCCATATTGCTGCAACGCCCTATCAGGGCACGCGGATGATCACGGGATTCGCACAGCCACGGTTTAGTCATTTTATTGGTCGGCGACTCAACTTCTCGCCATTTGTATGGACAATAGAACTGCTCATCAAAAATACACAACTCCGATTGGTTGAGCGCCAGTTTCCTTCGCGGCCGTTCTTCTCTTAAGCACCTCCCCCTCTGACATTGGAGCCGTCGACGAGGAAGACAGTAGGGTGGTTTGTGGTTTCAGTTGTTCTCACTCCAAACTCATTTAGGGAGCCATGGACGATTTTGATATGCTCAGTGCCCCTCAAGGAAGCGCAGGAAACGGTGTGGGGGCAGACGAGGACCCGGCGGCAGCATTTCTGGCCCAGCAGGAGAGTGAAATCGCGGGCATCGAGAATGACGAGGGCTTCAGCATCCTGGACAGCGGAGAAGTGCCTTCATCCCTGAACCAAGACCCCGACGGTGGGCTTACACGACATCGATAAAGAAACAAAAAAATAACGTTACTCTCTTTATAATCTTAAAAGCGATCAGTCAGACACCCAAGCAAAGAACTGTTTAACTCGCTCGTTAGCCAGCTAGCCTGCATTCAGAGCTCTATGTGTAACGTTATATGATGTAACGCGGAGTGTGGATAAATAATACGTGCTGTGCTGTGTATATAGATCACTGCCAAAAACGTGTTCAAATAGCTATTTAAGTGTCCTAATGTTTTACTTAATGGACTGGTAACGTTAGTTGAAGGAAAATGGCGTTATCTGTCGTTAACTCGGCTCTTTATGCATCTCCCTCTGGTATCTGGTAACATTAGACCTCTCATTTAACGGTTTAATTGAGGAGATAATTTTCTCTTTGAACACAAATTTGCCGATTTTTTGAGTCGATTGATTACTGTAGTAAGTTACCGTTAATGGTTGTATCAGCAAAATTCCAGTTCCTTGAACGTTGATGGAGTTTTTATTATATAATGACCTTTGGACTAAAAGCTGTGTGTGTGTGAGAGAGAGAGCGAGAGAGTAGTTCCTATAACGTTATATATTTATAATGAAGTGTCCAGGCATCTTTTAGATTCGGTTATGACAGGACCACTGCTGTATATTCAAACGCATTGAGATGCCTATTTAGACAGCATTAAATGGCATCAAAGCCGCCATGGAAGTATAAAAAGCGTATTGCGTGTTTAAACGCGCCCTAATCCACGAAAATGAGTGATTTGAACCCACATTTGATGGCCTAAAATATTCTATTCAACAGTTCGAACATGCTTGTCATGTTCGGCCAGAGATGATCGATTTGAACTCCACTGTGATGGCCAAAATGTTTTGTTTGAAAGATTCTATAGTGTCTTCGATGCCCAAAAACACTTACACATTTGGCAGATGCTTTTATCCAAAGCGAGTTGCATAAGGGATTCATATTTAATAGTTCATACGTTCACAGTTAGTCTTTTTAGGTAGGCAGCTCACTAAGGTATACATCTCCATCACAAGTATCTCATGGCTGATTGAATCTCTATAGGTACCTAAACTATAATTACACCTTTTCAATTTAATTTAATACCATGGACTGACTGAAATTATTGTATTTTGGAGGCCTTTGCCTTGGTTTGTAATCACACCTTACATTATCAATCTACACAAGTGTCTGGTGTTCCCTTTTTACTGGCCGTTGGCTTGAATGTTGCTTTGGCCGAAAGTTTTGAATAAATGATGATGGGGATGTTGTTTCACAGGCACAAAGGCACGGTCTGGCTTAGGTCTAGGATGACTGAAGACAACAGTCGTAGTACAGTACAGTCTGCAGAAAATCAGTCAGGGCTGCGTACTGTCTGTTCATTAATTCAGGCTTGGGTTAAAAATGGATTTTCATCTGCTGAATATATGTAGTCTTTTAATAATTGTATGCTTGGTATGTATTTCTTGATGAAAATGTTGGTGTTACTGATTAAATCACTTCTAGTAAAGAAATGCTACATGATGTTTTCCACTGATTCAGGAAGAAAGGAAAAGAAGTCAGCAAAAGCAGAGACTTAGGCAGGAGGAAAGACTGTATATCCTGTCCCACAATTCAACACTAAAATAATGCTTTGTCATGGACTATACGTTATTGCAAAATAACTGCTGTTTTTTTAAAAACCCTTTTTTGACAGATGCCTTTATCCAAAGTGACTTCCATTGCATTCAAGTTATGCATAATTTTTTCAGTTTCATGCATTCCCTGGGAATCAAACCCACAGCCTTCGCTTGTTGGCGGCATGCTCTACTGTTTGAGCTACAGGAAGGCTAAATAGCCTTTGTCTAATGTGTTTTCACTCAGTGACTGAGGGTGATTCATACAGATGGATTGTATGCGAAATTGCGAATCATGAAAAATTGACCGAAAATTGACTATTTTTAACACACCCATGTTCTTCTCTCTCTTTTATCTTGGCAGGTGGAGCACTGAATGGAGATCTGCACGGGGTAAGACTTTGATGGCTTATTTCTTGTGTTCCATCAAACTCGGAACACAATTTTTTAAATATTACATAGTTGTATTTTTTTTTTAAAGATAGAATTGTCTTTAATGTATTTATAATACAGATGATAGGAAATGCAGTGTGCATGAGAACAGAACAAAAGACTAAATCTAGACTTGCTTTAAACCTTTGGTTCCTTTCAAGCACTGGTTCTAAATAGCTAGATGAATTTATTAACGCTGTAATTTCATACATGAATTTCTAAGTTAATTTCTAAACATGATGAAAAATGTACGTTTTTCAGCATAAAGTAAACACCTTTTTTTTGGTGATATTTCAAGATTAAAGCAACTTAGGTTTACTTGTTTATCCATACATAATTTTTTAGGAAAACCATCTTAAAATGTGTCAAATAAGTAGGGCTGCCCCTTAATAGTACCAGAAGAGGCTTGGAAAGGAAAGAAAAAAAATCCACATTGGCGAAGTCACACAGATCGTTAACAGCTGGTCTATGTGGTAATACAGTACATCCGGCAGGACATCCAAAACGCTCACCTATCATTCATTCATCAATGTAAGTATTAGCAGCTTTACATGGCCACTCAATCTATTGAAGTGTATGTGCGAAGTGTGGAAGCTGAACAGTAGCGCTCACTGCAGGACAGATGGAAGCACCGGTGCGCTCATTTGCTCTTAAAATACTCTGTAATTTTTGGTCATACAGATAAGAGTAATACATCTTTCAAATCTGTAAAGACGCTACGTTTATTTGTGTGCATTTACAATAACAACAAAACGCGCTTTTGTAAAATAATGAATGCAAACAGGATGCACTTTCTGGCATCTCGGTCTCCGTGAACTTGAGCGCGAAACTCTGTGTAGGCTATATCTTTGCCTTACAGACATTAAAAATATATCTATAGAGAGTGAAATGTCTACTTTCAAATGGAAGACAAATATTTTCAGATTATGTAATCCGTATGAAACATGCAAGGCACTTATGGTGCTTGAATGCTTATTAGGCTATGTAGGCAATTAAAGGCTCATTATAATGATTTAAATGGTTTATTAATAAGCGTGCGATTAGTCGACTAATGCTTAAAATGAACGACTTCTAGTCGACCAGAAAAATCCATAGTCGAGGGCAGCCCTACAAATAAGTTACATCAATCAGGCTTTTGAGAAATGTTTATTTCAAAATCATCAAGTATGAGCTCTATTTTCTCACTATATACCACACTCTATAGGCCATAAAAGCCTATTGTATCAAATGTGTTGCAGTAAATAAAATGCACTAAAAAAGAAGCCTAAAGATAATAAACTGTTCCATTTTAAAATTGCTTTTATGACGTAACTTATATGACAGGCTTTACAGTGTAAACTTTGCCTGTGATCAGGAAAGTGAATGCCTAGTGTTACTAGTCACTCACATTTTAACAAGCCAGTTTTGTATTTCCAATTAAAATACATAAACTTGAATAATTAAAATTATTGACAAATCACTCATCCAAATGAAGTGCATCAACTAAACAGTATACTGAGATTGTATGGTTTGGACTGCTGATTATTGCTGCTTGTGTTCTGTAGGAGAGTAACGGTCCT